GAGAGAGAGAGAGAGAGAGAGAGAGAGAGAGAGAGAGAGAGAGAGAGAGAGAGACTGATTGAGTAACATTTGCGATATGTTCTATTATTACATATTTTCCATTTTATACTCATTTGAAAACAAATGAACATTAAAAATTATAGTTTGATATTTTAGACATCTATTTTAGAAGTTCAACTCTTCACCTATAACAAATTGATTTAATAAGTCTTTTTGTAATTTTTATGCTTTAAGGAGATCCTAAAGACGACAGTCATATTGGAAATAGCACTTACACACATACAATTATGTGTCATTGACACATCACTACATCAACACCTCACGCACATACGCTATACATATGCATAAGTTTTCGTATCGCAATTATGTTTTAAGTAGATATTTAAATCCAATTTAAGAACTTTACGCTGTTTTTTCATGCAAATTATTTGCCTCTGGACTACTATTTCGTGTATAAGTACATATCGCATAGCCTTTATATGAAGTAAATGTTGCCACGATATGTAATGACATGACAACCCTGGAGCGCCATGTTGGACTAAAAAATGGTAAAATAGAACTCAATATTTAAATTTTTTGTTGTTTCCAACATAAATTTTACCTCATAGGCACATATTAATGCGTATACTTTATCCTGGATAAGGATTTTCAAATCTATGAATGACAAAAAAGTATCTGTGATACAAAAATTATATGGTTTAGTCGGTGATACAGATGACTTTAGGATCCCCTTAAAAAATATGATTTAGGCAATCGCGATTGCCTAAATCATACATTCTTTGATAAGAAGAATCGTACATTCTTTATAAAATATATTATATACACATGATATATACGTAACATAATGCTATACATAATAATGGTAGAGGGAGATTACTGAATTTATTATTAATTTATGTGTGAAAATTGTAACGGCAAATGTTCTGCAATTATAAACAGTTCAATGGTATTGTTGGATGCAGTAAAGCTATAACAGCAAATATGATTTCGCATTACTTGGATCTGAAAGGACCATCTCTTACCGTTGATTCAGCATGCAGTTCTACTCTTCATGCTATGGCCGTTGGTTATGACTATATCGTATCAGGCAAATGCGAAGACGCAATAATTGGATCTGCACAATTATGTTTTATGCCAGTTTTAAACATGCAATTCGCTCGGTTAGGTATTTCAATTATAAACAAATTATGTTCCTTTATTAAAACTTATTAGAGTCTAGTAATACACTAGACAGAAAATTTTGAGGATTACACATTCCTTATACATAAAAAATAAATGTACTGCAAGCTATGTAATTTTGACAAAGCAATTCAAATAAATATTTGTTAAAATAGAATATTATTTTATCATAGATGAAATTAATAATTTCTTAAGTAAGTTGTATATTAAAAATGCATACTATATTTTTTATCTTTCAGGTGTTTTGTCATCTGACGGTTATTGCAGATCATTTGATAATGCTGCTAATGGTTATGCGCGTAGTGAAACGATGGGAGTGGTATACCTCCAAAAGGCGAAAAATGCAAAGAGGATTTATGCCATATATCCGCATGTTAAATTAAACTGCGATGGTTACAAAGAAGAAGGAATATTAAACCCGTCATCAGAAATGCAACATACGCTACTATCGGAATTTTACAATGAATGTAGAATACCGACATCAAGATTAGATTATATCGAAGCACACGGTACTGCTACAAAAGTTGGAGATCCTACAGAAGTTAATGCTATTCATAGTATATTTTGTAGAAATAAGGAGACTCCATTAATGATCGGATCCATAAAATCTAATCTTGGTCATTCTGAACCTGCGAGTGGTTTTAATCAGATCGCTAAGGTAAAATAAATAGCTTCTTTCATCTATTATAAAATCTGTTTTTATCTTACGCACAGCAATATATACTCTGAAAGCACAACCTGCGGAGACAAATTTTGAGCAGAGCCTGCTACCAATTTTTGATTGCAGAAAGGCAACGAATTGTATACAGGATTTGTATTGTCAGATATTATCAGCAAATTGCTATCAGAAACTTGACAAAGCCTGCTAGACATATTATGTCAGCAGATTGGTGACGAAAACCGAGCAAAAAAGTTCTACAAGAATCTGACGGTAAAGTGAGAGTGGACTGAGAACAGAATCTAATGTAAGCAGACTGCTCGGTTTCTAACCATCGATCTGCTGATAGTCTGTTAACAGGCTTTGTCGAAAAATCCATAGCCAAATGCTGACACAGATAGTTATGGTTTTGTAATCAAAATCTGATCGAGAGTTTGCTGTCAATTTAGCTACAAATTGCTAACATTTTGCAGTTAGGGTGTCACAAAAATTTCTTGCCATCGCTTTTGTATAGATAGAGCGGACTATAAACTGTGTCAAACAAAAGTTGCTTGGTTTCGAGGGGCACATAATGTGATGTTAATAATTATTTTGTAGGTGGAGGTATAAAGGATAGGCAAAGGTCAAATCTGTTTAATAATCAAATCCGTAGTAGTAAACAGTACAAAGTTTTTACTGATATATAGTTCATTTATCTTAAACATAATAAATAATAGATACTTAATAAATTAAGTTTTTGTTAGGTGCGGCGTATATACTGGAGTTACCCTAAGCTCTTGATCGTCTTATTTTGACTTCACAAATTTTGTCCAGACACTTGTCTCCGTTGACGTGAAATATCCTATATCTATTTATTTTTAAATATTGAAATCTTTTTATGACCGTACATGTGATAAACACAAACAAGAAGAAGACAGCCTGTAACGGTCAAAGCTAGATGACAGTGCTATTCTAATTATGTGTGAATTTTATATACTGCGTATGTAGTCCCCCCATAAATATACTGCGTATGTAGTCCCCCCATAAATTGCCTACTACTACAATGCCTTACTGATGAGTTTAATAGTGGAAGCCGGGACGAAACGCCAAAAATTACGTGATATTTTTCGTAATATATAAGAATTAAAGATTTAATTATTTACAGAATTTAAATACGGAATTTCAATTTATCATCTTTAGATTTGAATATGTAATTCAAAAACACTTAAGATCCATGATGCTATGAGCATAAAAAATTGTTAATCAATTAAATTGGTGATATTACTGCGGTAGTAAGTAAGCTTCAATGCTGAAATTAATCGGCGTCGCAATTTATGGGGGGACTACATACGCAGTATATAAAATTCACCCATAATTAGAATAGCACTGTGATCTAGCTTTGACTGTTATAGGGTGTCTTCTTCTCGTTTATATTTATTTTGTTGTGCGTAAAATAAAAAAAAATTTATATAATAGATGCATACAGATACACACACTCAAACATACTTATGTACATATGCACACAAAAGTTATATTCTTTGTTAAAAGTTGATCGATAAGTCACATTCGAAAGCACTCAAACACGAAGGCCCAAGACTACTAAAACCTTTCATTAAATTTAATATATCCTGAAATTAATATGATATAAATAATGTATAACTTGTCTATATTTAACAGTTATTCAAGCTTACATTTTAATATTGTTATTTATTACTAAAGGTAGTAATAGCATTTGAAACTGGCTTTGTTCCACCAAATATCAATTATACAACACCAAGAAATGAAATAGATGCCTTAGTAAATAAAACTATTTGTGTCGTCCAAGAACCAATGCCTCTTCAAAATGGTTACATAGGAATCAATAATTTCGGTATGGGAGGATCCAATGCCCATATATTATTAAAATGGAATGCTAAACAAAAAGTTAATAATGGAGCACCAAATGATGATATTCCTAGACTTGTAATATTATCTGGACGCACAGAAGAATCAGTGAAATTGTTTTTAAACGACGTTAGTATACATATATTTCAAAAGCTATTTCGATATTATTTTGAACAATTAGAGACATTATTAATAATCATAATTTTAATTAAAAAATATATTATTATAGATTACTAATCGTCCAATAGATATAGAATATATCCGTTTATTGCACGATATCTATGCAGACAATATAAGTGGTCATCTATGGAGAGGATATACTATATTAAGTACCTCGCAACAAGATCCTATAAAGGAAATTCGAAATTGTGAAGGTGCGAAAAGACCTGTGTGGTTTATATTTTCATCTTTAGATTCGCAATGGCCAGGAATGGGTACACACTCAATATTTCATCTTTAATAATAAATCACATACCATTTAAATAGCAAAATAATATAATTTATAAACTACAATCTTATTAGGTCGAAGCTTATTAAAGTTTAATGTCTATGCAAAAGCAATAAAAAAGTGCGATAAAGTTTTAAAACCATATAATATAAGTATTATAGACATCTTGACAAAAACTGAAGAAAAATTGTGGAAAAACGCGTTAAATGCTTTTCTTGGAATTGTTGCTTTTCAGGTAAAGAATCTGCTATTTTCCAGTTATATATGTATAATATAAATATCAATTATACATTATAATTATAAGTACAACACATACGAAAAACATACTTAATGTTGTGTTATTCTACTGCATTAAAACTAGCATCTTATTAGATTTATTTTATCACATTTAATTAATGTTATAGTAATAAATATTTTAACATAACAGCCAACTATAAATTTTATGATACATATTTGTAGATTGGTGTAATAGATCTTCTAAGATCGTTAGGAATTACTCCGGATTACATGATTAGTCATTCTGCTGGTGAACTCGGCTGCGCGTACGCAGATGAATGTCTCACAATTGAACAAACTATTTTATCAGCATATTTTATTAGTTTGACATGTACTAAAAGACAAATAATTCACAGCTCTATGGCAGTTGTTACTTTAAATTACCAGCGTCTTAAAAATATATGTCCCTTGGATGTTGAAATAGTATGCCGTAATAGCGAGAACAACAGCGTTGTGTGCGGTCCCACAGAATCTGTACAAACATTTATTAAAAAATTACAGGTAGAATTAAATAGTTTATGAATTTTATAAGTAATGGAATATTTTGCTTAATATAATTTTCAAAATATCAATTTATTAAATTCAAGTCACAATTTATCAGCTTAAAAATATCACATAAGTGTTTTATATTTCTCTATTCTCAGATCAATAACGTTTATGCAAAAGAGATCTACTGTAACGTACCGTATCACAGTTCTTATCTCGCATCAACAAAAATTCAACTTTTGCTTAATTTGAATAAAATAATACCATGGCCAAAAGAACGGAGTTCAAAGTGGATTAGCACTTCTATACCTCGCACTGAATGGTTTACCTCAACATCAAAGTTTTCATCGGCTGAGTATCATACACAAAGCATATTGAACACCGTTCTCTTTCAACAAACAACAGATCTAATTTCAAGTAGCGCTGTGGTCATCGAAATCGCACCAGACGGTGTTTTGCAGCACGTTTTGAAAAAACTCCTACATCCAAAAGTGACAAGTTTTGTATTGAATGGACACACCGAACAACATATTGATATATTTTTACAAGGAATTGGGAAGCTTTATAATTGCGGTTTACAACCGCAAATTGGAAATTTATATCCATCAGTGGAATTTCCAGTTAGCCGAGGAACTCCTATGATCTCTCCATCAATCAGGTAGATATTATCGTAATCGTACTTTAGATGATGTCTACACGCAGAAAATTTTATATTCAAAATTACTATAATGTGGTAAAAACTGAGGACCATCGTGTAATTATAAGTTTAAATGTTATAACCATTTTCTAAAAAACAAAAATATAAAGTAATTTTTACTCTTTTTCATAGTAAAAATTTTTTATTACAAAATCATACTTTGTTGAATAAAAGTTAGTATTGTATAAAGATAAAGAATATATAAATAACCTAGCAAATATTTTTTTTGTTTACGTACCGTAGTAAAAATTAACTCTTTCCATGGTTTATAAGCAATGGATTTAATAAAAATTACTTCATTTATGTGATAAAATTAGTATTATATCATAGTAAAAGTTATGTCGGAATATTGTTGTGAGAGTTCATTCGAAAATACAAGACACAGTAAAATGTAAATTGTATTAAAACTTAATATAAAATTTTCTCCGTGTATATAAGAAAAATGTATGTATATATAAATATATACAATATAGTTATTACAATAATAATATGTATATTAAATATATATGTAAACATGTTATTATAAATTATATATTATAGCAGTTATAAATAATTGTGTGCGTGCGTGCGTGTGTATGTCATTAATTATCATTACAAATGTTTTATGTGAGTACATATAATATAGAATAATATTCATGTATATTATACATATATTTAATACGTTTTATATGTAAATATATATATATATATAATTGTTCACATATATACAAATAAAAATTTTAATGACTCAGATGGAATCATTGTGAAAATTGGTGCATACCAAACAGTGAACAACAAAAGTCCATAAAATCCAGAGAAAGATACGTCAACATTTTACTCGAGGATGAAAACTATGAATATATGAGCGGTCATATAATCGATGAAAGAAATTTTCTACCGGCCACGAGTTATTTGGGACTCGTGTGGCAAACAATTGGTATGATGAAAGGAGTAATGCACACAACGATACCAATAGTCTTCCAAAATGTAAAATTTATTCGTGCTACGCATTTGTCTAAAAATAATGCCGTAGAATTACATATTGTAATACAAACAGGTATTTATGAACTGAGTGGCTTTAATTTAAGGATATTCTTGAAATTTCTATATAAGAGTATTCGCATATTCAATATACCTTAAACAATATTGTAGAATTATTGATAATACAGTTTAAAGAAATGTATAAATTCAATGGATTAACGAATACCTGTTTTACTGTTAACGTATTACAATAATATAAATAAAAACAAACATATAAAATATATAAAAATGTTACAGATGGAAAGTTTGAAATAACCGAAGGAGGTAGTGTTGTTGTAACAGGTACAGTGTACGATACATCAAATCCAGAACAGGAAATGGTTCCAATAGATTTGTTATCGGAGAATAATGATGAAGAAGAACACATGTCAGCACGAGATATCTACAAGATATTGAAACTGCATGGATATCAATACAGAGGCTTGTTTCGTGGATTAAAGAGTGCTTCTGTTTCAGGAAGTAAAGGACATATCATTTGGAAAAACAATTGGGAATTATTTATGGACAATATGTTACAGATGCAAATTATTCGATATGACATTAAGGATTTGTATGTTCCTACGAGTATCCAAAAATTAGTGATAAATCCAATGCTACATGCTTCGAAATTAATAACGGATAACATGGATGATTCAGAAGTTACAACAGATATAAATAAACGTAATTATATTTCTCTCCATTACTAAAAATTCTTTGTTTAATACATAAATACTGTGTACAAGTCCTCCATATGTAGCATATTATCTTACTTGTCTTATTATAGTATTACAGGTACGAATACATAAAGAGATAGACACAATAAGAGCTGGCGGAGTAGAAATTCGAGGTTTTAAAGTTGCTCAAATCTCTCGTCGGAGATTAACTCAGAATGCTCTTATTGAAGAACATACGTTTGTTGCTCATTGTGATCGCGCTAAGATTTCCTTAAACGAAGCAATTCGGTTATCGGTTCAACTCGTAATGGAAAATCACGAAATTAATAAAGTACAAGCAGTCGAGCTAGTGGAAGATGTCGATGATGTTGAATTTGAATGTCTTTCATATTCGTTGCTGCTTGAGGCAATTGGTGATATGCCACTGAAACAAATAAATATTACTTTATTAACATCATCAAATCGTTTTAAATCAGAAGACTTACCGCAAAATGTCTCCATAAAAAATTTTGAAAAATTGTCTTTTGATGACAAGGGTTTAATGGTTGTTGGATTCAACCTTTTAACCAAACAAGCATCGTTAAAGCGACTGTTGCCATTTTTGAGAGAGGGTGGTTATGTGTTGACTCGTGAGAAATGCGACATAACTAATTATGAAAAAGATTTGCAGCAATATGAATTAAACGTCATTCTCGAAAAACGCACTGATAAAGAAATAATTGTGCTACTGAAGAAGAAAGTTCTGATAAGCGAAAGGATTGTTGTTTATATAAGTAATAATAACTTTAATTGGCTGGAGAAACTAAAGCCGCTTGTGAGCGACGAGAATAAACTTGATAAGAATAGTAGAATTATAATTGTCGGAGAGAGAGATTTTGAGTGCGGTTTATTAGGTTTTGTTAACTGTTTGAAGAAAGAGCCAGGTGGAGAACTTGTTAGGAGTGTGCTCGTTCAAGATAAAAATGCTCCTAAATTCTCTCTACAAGACCCCTTTTATCTAGAACAATTGCAAAAAGATATGGCTATTAATGTATTACGATCTAATAAAACTTGGGGATCGTACAGACATCTAAAATTGCCACAACCGGAAGCAAAACTTGTACCAACCGCTCATGTCTGTCAAATGGTATATCCAAACTTTTTTTTAAACATACCGATTGTTATTATTATAATATTATGTATCTCGTCTTTTAAACGGATAATTATATTGTACTTGTCGGATGGAAAATTACTATCACGAAGCTTCTTTTTAGAATTCTATTTTATATGTGTTGTATGAAAGTACAAATTTTATTTTTCCACAGGTTCATGGCGACTTAAGTACATTTTGCTGGATAGAGAATAATCTATCAGTTGTATCTCGTCGTGAAAACTTGGTGCACGTTGTCTACTCATCTCTGAATTTTAAAGATATAATGCTCGCCACTGGTAAATTAACATTTCAGAATACGTTTATGCAAGAACAGCTATTTCAATATGTTTCTCTTGGAATGGAATACGTGGGTTTTGATGCTAATGGACAACGTATAATGGGAATGCGCGGTACTAAGTAAGTAATGCTACAACAAATTATTATCAAGTAATGTCATAGAATAGATAGCATTTAAAAGTTTTTTCAGTTGTATAGCAAACGTCGTTGAGAAAGATGAAGATCTTGATTGGAACATACCCGATACATGGACATTTGAAGAGGCAGCAACGGTCCCGTGCATTTACATCACGGTTTATTTAGCCTTATACTATTACGGAAAAATGAAAAAAGGTGATAAAATACTTATACATTCCGGTACTGGAGGCATTGGACAAGCAGCTATTCATCTCGCTCTTAAAGAGGGATGCGAGGTGTTTACTACCGTCGGCACACATGACAAGCGGAACTTCATTAAGAAAACATTTCCGATCATTCCAGATGAACATATTGGAAATTCTCGAGATACAAGTTTTGAACAAATGATTATGCGTCAAACGAAAAAGCGCGGCGTCGACATTGTGTTAAATTCATTGGCGGAAGAAAAGTTAATCGCTTCTGTTCGATGTTTAGCTCAAAATGGTCGATTCTTGGAGATTGGAAAATTCGATCTTGCTTCTAATAATCCCATAAATATATATGAGTTTCAGAAAGGTATTAGTTTTCACGGGATTATATTGGAGAATATGATGTCAAAAATTTGCAAGTGGAAGCGTTTATTGCACAAATTGATAGACGATGATCTAAAAAATGGAACAATCAAACCAATTCAAGCAACAGTTTTTTCAAAAACCAATATTGAAGAAGCTTTTAGATATATGGCGAGCGGAAAACATATAGGAAAGGTATGCTTGTTTTGACAAATAGTCTTAAAAAGGTTTACTCGCATAAATAACAGACTTTCATATGATTCTATTGACACATAACATGAATTTTTTATATACGATTATTTTCATAGATAATTATAAATATTCACGAAAAGGATGAATCTCTAGATAAACATATTCTCGCATATCCTCGCTATTATTGTCTCAAAGACAGAAGTTATGTAATACTAGGAGGTCTGGGCGGATTTGGTTTAGAATTAACCGACTGGCTTATATTTCGTGGTGCCAGAATCATCATTCTGGTTTCAAGAAATGGAATAAAAAATGGTTACCAACGCAGGAAAGTTCAACTATGGAAGTCGTACGGTGTAAACGTTCTGATCATCAGGAATATTGATGTTGCAGATATCAAAGGTTGTGAATATCTGTTACGAACTGCTGAAAAGGAAGCTCCAGTGGACGCGATATTCAATCTCGGTGTGGTAATAAAGGACGGCGTCCTCAAGAACCAAACCGCAGAAACATTCGCAGAGATCTTCCAGCCAAAGGCTCGTGCAACGCAAATGCTGGACAAACTTTCTAGGAAAATTTGTCTTAACTTACGGCATTTTGTAGTGTTCTCTTCCATATCCTGCGGCAAAGGAAACATTGGGCAGACTAATTATGGCATGGCCAACTCTGTCATGGAGAGAATTTGTGAGAAGAGAGCGGAGGAAGGATTACCAGGATTGGCGATTCAATGGGGAACTATAGATGACGTGGGTTTCATGGCTGACGCGCAGGAGAACAATAAGAAACTAATTATCGGTGGCACTCTATATCAAAAGATATCCTGCTGTCTCCATAAACTCGAAAAATTTTTACTTCAAAATCGGCCAATTGTGAGCAGCGTAGTCATTGCTGAAAAAAAAGGAGAAAGTCACGGAAGTCTAATAGAAAGAATTGCTAATATTTTAAGTAGGTGTTCCTAGTTCCTATACGGTGACATATTCATTTGTAATAATTTATCATATTTGTTCGTTAATCTTTTACGAAAAAGGCACACACATTATACTGTATATCATTTAATAATTATATACTTTATAAAGAAATTCGGTCTAAATCGAGCATTAATATAAGGTGTTTTTATAAAATAAATTTCTTATTACTACTCGATCTAGACTGAATTTCTTTATACCTTGCATTGCAAAAAATGAACGAAATCTAATTATATTACTTTATATTATAGACATAAGTGACATAAAGATTGTAAGTCCAAATTCATCTCTGGCTGAACTCGGAATGGACTCCATGATGGCCGCAGAAGTCAAACAAACTGTAGAACAAGAATTTGATACATTTGTCACAGCACAAGAAATACGAAATCTTACTTTTGCAAAACTTATTAAGATGTCTGTTGCAACCATCAATAACAATAATGTGGATGATGAAAAGAAATTGGAGATAAAAACGCATTTAAGCGTTATAAAAATTTTATTAAGTATTGCTGTAAAGGATGAAGATTTTGTTTCTCCAACAAATATTTCGACTAATCAACAAAGTACTATGACTGAAGTATTTCTTATACCGGGTCTTAACGGATGTGGTACTGTATTTAAAACGATAGTACCGTATATTAAATTTTCAACATCGCTGTTGCAATATAAAACAAACGATATTGATTCTACAAATATAATATTGGAAACGACTAATCATTTCATAAACGTATGAAATTATATTAATTATTTCATTTTATGTTGGTTTTTATTGTTTTAAAAAGTATAAATCTTATCGAATGCTTTCGGTATTTTTGTAGCACATACTTTCAATGCTGACAGATGGAAAAGATTTTGTAATAGTAGGATACTCTTTCGGATCTCTTTTCGCAATTGAAATAATGAGGAGATTGGAAGCTATGAATTTTAAAGGTCGACTTGTTCTCATTGACGGTGCTCCTGAGCCTATCCAGACAATATTAAAACATTTTGTATTAAATTTTGATAATGCAAATTTTCAGATTAATATCTTAAGTAATATTATGGAAATGTATTCAGTAAAATGTTCTGAACAGGTATATGAAACTTTTGTTTTGAACTCACATTTAAACTAATTTACGATAGGGTAACTCTGGCAAATAGGAGGATATATGCGCGAGGATATACGTCGCGCATATATCCTCCTATTTGCCAGAGTACAAAAAAAGAAGTACAAAAAAATAGAAGGAGTGGGGATAATTTTCCGGCAACTACTCTGTTACATGCCTTTATGTTATATTAGTATTATGTTATGATTTCAGATTTTTATTGTTAGTATTAATGGAATTATTGTGAGTTGTATCGATTTGTCACTGTAATAAGTAGCGTCATCATAAATTATAATTTACATAAAACGATTATTGTAGAATGTGTAAAAGATTTAGTGATTATTTCATGATAATGAATGTAGAGGAATAGTAAAGCATGTTGTATAGCAAAATACAAGTATGTTTTGCTCTTGCATTCTTTGTTTAGTTTATTGTCTTTTATATCCTACATATGTAGGATATACAACATTTTTACGGGCAGGATTTATGCCCAAAGCATACAAAGTGCGCAGATCGGATTCAGTGCACTAAATTTAATAAACGTATTACAGAAGTGTGTACCTCATGTCATAACACTTATACAAGATTGTAATTATTATTTATTACTTCATATTTTATCATTCTTATTCCTTAATAAAATGTAGTAAACATATTTTATAAATTGTGTCATTTTACGTCTTATTTATAAGAATTTGTCGTGAACTGTACATATTTCTCTCGTTCTCCTTAAGAGTAGCCGCATAACCCACCCCTATGAGATATATATATGGCAAAAATGCAAGGGTTTCAAAAAGTTCTTTTTTTAATACAAAAAATAAATATTTTGGATTTCTAATATTTTTTTCGTAGTAGTAGACAGTACAAAGTTTTTACTAATATAGTTCATTTACCTTAATAATAAATAATACTTAATAAATTAAGTTTTTGTTAGGTGCGGCGTATGTACCGAAGTTACTCTATATTATCTTTCGGTTTTTATGTGAATTAGTATCAATTTCTTTATTTGTTTTTCGATCTTGTATGTAAAAATTAATAAATATATGTTTTCACAGATTTTAAGGAAATTAAAAAAATGTGAGAACTGGGATGAAAGATTAAATATTGCCGCTGAATACTTCTCAGCTTTATACACATTTCTCTCATTTGCAAATTTCAAAACACTATGTACAACGATTTACAAACATTTATCTGTTCTCCGAGAATATGATTCTTCTACTTTGTCACCTATTAAGTCTTCTATAACATTGTTAAAATGTACATCCCATTTTCAAATACCAACGATCGAAGAGAATTATGGTTTGCACAAGGTATTTAAAAAAATTTTAATAATTTGTACTGAATAAATCAGATTTAACTAAACTTATTGTTAATAATGTATTTAATTATTTAAGGTAACACAAAATGTGGTAAAAGTACATTATATTGAAGGTGATCATGTGACAATCTTAAAGAATAAAAAAGTGGCAGCTGCAATTAACGGAGAACTACCATTTACTGCATAAAATTTTATTATAATTATTATATCATGTTGGTTAAAATTGGATAAACAGGCTGCAATCATCGCAAAAAATATGTGGGTTTCCATCATCTATCAGCTTAAATTATAATAAGAAAAGTGAAAGTTTGATCATTAATGTTATAGATCAATAAATATGTTTAAATTTATATTTGTTAGATTTTCTACATAATTTTTAATAAGTCACTTAATTATAACATTGACTTGCGTAATGACATTATAAAATTATTACATTTTAGATAATTATAAGGACTTACTAGTACTTAATTACTAATACTTAACACACAATTTCATTTTATACTGGTATTATTCTGTTTCGTATTGTTTTAATTTTATTGTATACTGAAGATAACCACATTTAGGGTCGAAACGTCTATTGTAATTATGTAATTGTACTTTATAATATAGATAACTTTCACTAATACGATTCAGTGTGTTGCATATGCTTGACCTCTTACTTTGTTTATTTTTACGCCACTTAAATTTATATGTTATTTATTAAATTAATTATTTTATTTTATTTAATTTATTTATTTAATTATATTAATTAATTAATATATTTTTTAATTTAATTAATTTTATTAGTTCGTTTAATTCTTTACTTAATTTAATTTAATTTTTAATTTGTTTTTTTAATGTAGTCATTGTGAACAGCAGCTTAATGGATAAAACACTTTACATGTATGTGTCACACGTACGACTGAATAAATCTTTTTATTCCCTTTTCGGTTTCTAGATCTCGGTATTGCCTGCACCAATGTTATTCGGACTGGTTGCAATCGAAAGATACCGATGACATTATGATTATATATATAATAAAAGTATTTTTAGATTTTTGATTGGGCTTTTAATCTCTGAATAATATTAATCTAAAGTTTGTAGATGTCAAAACTCCAGATAAAACTAGTAGTAGCATCGCAAATTTGGTAGCAACATGAATATATACACGATAATGTTCACGGGTCAAGCGATCGTGTCAAGCACTTATATTTTTATTTTATGCACTTGGCGTCGCTTGATACAACATATATAAAAATAAAAAATATATAAATAAGTTTCAAAAACTTTTATGTTAAAATATTAAATATAAAATAGGTCAAAAGATATTATTCGAAATATAAAAAAATATATTATCGATTACTGTTATAATATAGAGAGTACTGCAACCTCTTAGTCTGACTTGTTTTATATACAAAATGGTTGCATGCAGATAAACTCTCGAGCATCCTCGCTATAGCGAAGAATGCTTCTCAGTGTCAGTATTGCATTGTCTACCATTTGTACTGCAATAGTCAGTTGACTTGCTCGGTTAACGTAAAAAAGTTTTCTGTTAAAAAACTTGTTCTACACGAGCCTCTTGAGAGGAAAGATTTTTTATGTATGATGGGGGAGAAGAGGAGGTGGATGTTCCTCCTTATGAGAATGAAGAGAATCTCGTGGTGGAGGAGGAGGAGGATGAAGAGGATGAACAGGATCAAAATCCTTTTTGGATTTGTTCCACTTCCTCATATACTTGATGGAGGAGCAATTCTCTGTTCTCTGTTCCCTGTTCCTTTTATTATTCGTAACCCTTAGAATCCGCCTAGCATTACTACTTGTACGCTTTTAACATAAAGAAATTTTTTTAAAAGCTTTAAAAGGATCAATGCGCATGTACAACATTCAGATAATGACATGAACGAATATTTATTATTATATTACACACACATATATTTAAATAAAATATTAGAAATTGAATTTTTCTTACAGAAGATAAACTTAAAATGATCAGCGATTTTGTTACGGAAATAATCATCAAAAAATTGTAACGCTGTTAAATATTTCAACAAATATACGTATATATTTCGTTATTCTAAAAACGGTTTACATGCATTTATCAGTTGTTATATTTTATTTATTATGTATACACTTATATTTACTCTGCATATTTACTTACCTATTACATACCTAACAGATTTTTGTTTTCATAAAGAAAAATTTTTAATATAATCATAAAAGGAAAGTCAGTAGATGTTTAAGGTTTTTATAAATGTTCTACGTTACTTCTACGCTAACACCTTGATAGAAATATTTTCAAAGTTGTCTCATGAACATGCAATAGGAGATCGCTGTTTGAAGTAACTTAGAAAATAAACATTTTTATACCCTTTATCATTATGATTTTTACATATAGATTTATATTACAGTATATTTTTCCTCACCATTCCGAAATTTTGCAATGACATTACGTAAAATCTGCAAGCAGTCAGGACAAGCGGACGGAAACGTCGTTTCATTATTAACAATAATGATTTCTGCTCTGAAACATTTGCATTATACCACGTAGAATTGTACCTGTACAAAATCAACATAAAAATATAAAAATATCTTTAGTTTAACATTTTTTTAATATTAAAATAGATATTTTATATGTAATAATAAGAAGTTTTATATTCATAAAAAATATCTTATGTTATAATTATGTGAATGTTATTATTACAGAATTAATATAATAATGAAGTAAAAAACAAGATAAAGTTTTTATCGAAACGTTAACTTTTATGAAAGATTGTTAACATTGTTTTAACAATTTTTTTTAATATAGTGAAGTTTAATATAGTTATTTATAGAAAATTAGTATACATATATAACTTAATAATTATATTATATACATTATTTACTTTTGTCTTTGGAAATATTATAATTTAGTGGCACTTTTATAATCACATATTTTTATAACTTTATCATTATTTTTATAAATATGTATTATATATTTTTGAGTAAATATAAAATATGTTATGCAAGAAGAAATAAGGAAAACAGAATTCTTCCTGTTTTATTTATTTTGACTTTATTCTCTTGTTTTTAATTTACATTAGTATTTTTAACGATTTAGATGCATGTAGGAAATTCAGAAAGTTTTCGCCGTTTTTTTGTTCAGAAAACGTATTTATTTAAATAACAAAAGGAATAAATACATTAATCAAAGTATTTGACCTCAGAGAAGCTAGCAGTTTTTTTTCTTTTTTTTTTTCATCCATTTAGTTTTGTCTGTTATTTATTCTGTATCTTAATTATCACGACGTAGGGGAGCTCACCGTTGATTGATAAATTGTATTGATTAGTTATATAAATTAGTTTGTTTCTCTGAAGAGGGCTAAAAAGTTAACCGAAACATGTAAGAGCGCTACTATTATAATAAAAGAACGTTATTTGAATAAATGGTTTTTGTCACTTATTAGTGATTTTTTTAATTGCGCGATGTCTTCTGCGCCTAACTCCTATTGTCCTTTACTCTCTCCTTGTTTTTGAAAAATATTATTATAATAAAAAGAAATACATTACTTACACTTTCTCGCATATATTTGAGCTCATATTTGTAATTCTTTGTGACATATAATTAGATATAAATAAATATATCGATGCTATAGTAGCGAGACTGATAGATCTTAAGGCTCGATCAATATCGCCGCCAATACTAAGTACCTGAAAGATTTTGTGTTTGCATTTTGAACGCTCAACGTGTTTCTGCTGTCAACATACCTGCGTTAATGCAAGGCTCAACACGATAATTAATTCTGCGACATCAATTAGAAATGGTATTGTGTGATAAATTTCGATCGTACCAATGAATCTTGTATGTAATAAAAGATTAAATTTTGTTAATGAAAACTGTTAAATGAAGGATAAAGTATTCGTTGCATTTAAAAATGTATATCAGCATTTATCTAATATTAACATACAAGGTGGCCTATGTAAGTGTTACAACCTAATAACTCTAAAAATATTTATCCTATAAAATAATTTGACTTGTGTGTGCCACATTGTGTGTTAAATTAATACTTCGATACGCAAATATTCAACACAAAATTGTAATAAGGACTTAAGTAAACAGTTAAGAAACACAAATACAAAATGTTTTTTACTGTGTATAAGTACGAGGTGTGTACAAAAAAGTTCGTGCACTCGGTTCATCAAAAATCCAAATTAAATTATTCTGTAACGGGGATGTGGTAACCACGAAGTACTTTCCTCTTGACAGAATGCACTTGGTCCAACGCTTCTTCTATTCCTAAAAGCAATGCTGTATGTCTTCATTTGTCAGTCCCTTTAGGAGCTTCATCGTTTCTTTTATGATATCAACATCCACAAAATGTTCACTCCGCATGATATTTTTTAGGGAACAAGTAGAAGTCACAGGGCTATATCAGGTAAATAGAGAGGGTGGTCCATAGTAGCGATATTATTTTTGGCCAAAAACTCGCGCGTAACAAACGCGGTGTGCATTGTCCTGATGCGTCCACGAGTTCAAATCTTCTTTTAAAATTGTACGAACACTACCATTCCTTATTCCAAGTTTTTCTGCAATCATTCTAGTGGTAATTCGACGGTCTGCCTTTACCAAATCGTGAACACGTTGAATGTTCTCATCGACACGTGACGTTGAAGAGCGCCCCGCAGGTGCGTTGTCATTGACGCTTTCCCTTCCTTACTTGAACCGGGGTCCACCCATTTATATACAGTTCTACGCTTCATGGCAGACTCACCATACACCATTTCGAACATTTGAAGAATTTCCTGGCCGTTCTTGTTAAGTTTTACGAGAAATTTGATATTGGTTCTTTGCTTGATTAAAACGTCTCGCTCCATTCCGCCAACACGATTAAAAATATAAAATAAATTAATAAAAACAGACACGAAAAGCAAAGATCTCATTTGTTACCTAACTTTTACTAAGGACATGTGACACTTCCCCCGAGAGGTTACACCACTGTACAAGTTTACAGCGTCATCACATCAACAGAATAAAATGCAGTGCTCCAACTTTTTGTACACACCTCGTAATTATATCACTTTTTTGCAGAATGCTTGATCGATTGGATTAAACAGATTTACAGATACCGCATGCCTTGTATAAAGATACAAACTCTATAATGTTGTAATGCATCTGTACAAAAATGACTATGTTTCCACAATTTTTTGACCGTATTGAATCGTATTCTGTTGCATCTTTATCATTTTCAACGTCATAAAATAAACATTCCGCTTGA